TCACTAAAAATCACCTGCGAATAGTTGAATTTGTCCTTACAATTAAGATAAGAGGGCCTCAATGGGGTTAACTGTGAGCCGTGAAACGGCTAAAAAATTAGCCGTGAMTCGTRAAAATGAGAAAAAATAGCCGTGAAACGGCTTAAAAATTAGCCGTGAGTCGTGAAAATGAGAAAAAAATTAGCCGTGAGCCGTGAAAAAGTCAAATTTTTAGCCGTGAATCGTGATGCGGACCTCCCCATTGAGACCCTCAGATAACAGACAAAGGAAATTTGAATAGACTTTTGCGAAGTGAAAAAAGCTCTAAAATAGTAACTTTCAGCCGAGTAAAAATCCATTTTCTTGTGTTTTGAAGTGAATATATGAGGGTCTCAATGGAGTTAACCGTGAAACGGCTGAAAAAATAGCCGTGAGTCGTGAAAATGAGAAAAAATTAGCCGTGAGGCGTGAATATTTTTTATAGYGTGAGCCGTGATTCAGTATTGTTCCTCAGAAGGACAGTCAACTCCAGGCGCGCGCTTGTAATTTTTTTTAGTAAATTTTTTTTTGCAGGATTTTTTTCCCCAAAATCTTCCACTCTCCCCCCTCCCCCAAAAATTCTAATGGATCGCACCTACCAACAAGGTCTCCCAGACAAGTCAGGGCATGGACAAAATTTGACATTTGAAATAAAAAATTAAAATAACTGAGTGTCTATAACRTACAAGGGACACTGTGCTCCCACACTCACTGTATCTCTAGCACAAAACAAATTACATGAAAAAGTGATGAAAAACGTTGTTTACATTGATTTCAAAAATTTCTGAAAGTAATCTAGTTAACCGTGATTCGAAAAAATTAGTCGTGAGTCGTGAAATAGCCAAATTTTTAGCCGTGAGTCGTGATGCGTACCATCCCTTTGAGACCCTCATATATCAAATATCCCACAAAACACTCGATAGATTTTTCCAAAACTCTATACAAATGTAGGCATCGATAAACCACAATTAAGAGATATGAATCCTGTTATTTTATTTTTGATTGCCGCGAGAGGCCAAAATAGTGCTCAAAGCTAAAAAAAGTGTAACGTCATAGTCACGTGTCATGACGTGAGATCTCCCTCAAAAATTGAGAAAAAATTGCTCTTAACGATAATTCAATCTTTATACAAGTTGTATGTAAATAAGATTTACAATCCAAATAAAAAGGAATGGCAGTACTAGGACTACTAGTGGCGCTTTAAACTTGGAAGGCACCGTTTTTTTAGCGTTAGGTTGTCGTTWTCCAGCTGTTTAGACCTAACTGTTGGGCGTATATCTGCCTGAGGATAAGCTATATATAAATCTAATTTGCACTTTGACAGTTGTATCAGCAAGAGATCTAGAACTCAGAACAATTTATTTTAATTAACCGGTGAGCAGACTTATCTCGTTAGACTACCCAACAGTAATTAATTRATGAAGCGGAAGGTATTTCAAGAGTAGCTTCATTTCTATGACWCTGTTAGTGGTAGAACCTGAATGAAGTRACGCGGTAGATCTACGACGACCACTAGCTATACAAGCCTACATTGCTGGTAWATTTGTGAACCAAGAATTTTTAAAATGCGACGGCTTGCAACTCCATTCAATGTCGACTACAAYGAGACAWTACTCAACGAAACTAGCAATCCTTCATCAGTCGATCATCTCTCTAAGGAATGTATAATTWCGATAATGACAGTCAATRTCGCAAGCTCTCTTTCRAGCWGTRTRCTAAACTTCTTGGTAATGTTGACTTTTRTGAAGACGCCATCTTTGCGAACACCTTCAAATATTCTTATCCTTGGTCTAGCTATCACTGACTTTGGTGTTGGTGTCTTGGTGCAGCCGGTCTTTTGCGTGCGGTTATTTACAAAGCTTCACAATATCAAGGATCTTTTCAATAATCTTGAAAAAATATCAATAGGGATGTATATAGCATTCGCAAATGCATCTCTTTTGTCTTTGACTGCCATAACTGCCGACCGATTCCTAGCTCTTCATTTACACCTAAGATACCAAGAMCTCGTTACAAGGAAGAGGGCTTGGATAGTTGTSATTGTYRTCATGRTAACGAGCACRGYTATCTCATTTCTTTACTCTTTAGGCGAGTTTATTATTGACGTAATGTATTTGGTTATGTTATTTGGTCTATTYCTGTTAATAATATTTCTAATGTTGAGAATTTCCTGCTCTATAAACAAACACTCGGCACAGATTCAAGAAAACACAGCTCCAAGCTTTGATYTCCCAAGATACAAGAAATCAGTCAACACAATGTACTATATAATGGGCGTATTTCTTGCYTGCTACACGCCACAGCTTTGTAATGGCTTCATAAGGAATGATACTTCTCTCATTGTGAAGTGGTCAGTAGGTTCGTTTTTGTTAATGAACAGTTCTTTGAATCCAATCATCTATTGGTGGAGAATAAAAGAAATGCGAAAGGCCGTTGTGAAACTGTTTAAAAGTTGTTGCTGTCAACACRAAGATCCTTCCTCATAAACAGAGTACTTWATTAATATACAATATTAGTTGAAAGTATTTAATAAAAATGAGCACTGAGCCCTTGGGAATTATGGGAGCTTKCACKTCTTTAAAGAATCCCAASCAACCACAATRCAGCGCGCGCACGTGTTATTGTTTACATACGTTTCAATGCGTCAAGCATACAATAGATTATAGATTGATTGTACCTGTGAGGTACTTAGTTAAAGGTATTTATGTCCAAACTGAAAGGATGGAAGACGATTCGCGCTCACTTTAAGAATTTAAATATGCTTTTGGTGGCCTAGCATGCCACCGTTAAACCRATGGATAGAAATGGATATTCGAAGTCACCTCATTTTCCATATATGAAAAATCTAAAACACGACCGCATTGCATGCTAGTGGACCATGTCCCTTTAAGCCAACAATGCGCTAAAGAACTAGGGAACTCTCTATTCCTCTATTGTTCTGCAGCATAGCAAGTTCCCCATGTACGAATGTCTTGCTTTTCACTGATCATGTATCAGGGATGGATGGATTATACAATGCGCAATTAGCACCTTCTTGCATTCCTGTGCCGTTTGCTTCCCTAGTTCTTACTCGGGGCATTACTTAAACTAGCTCCTATAGAATCTGAGGGCGATCGCTACAGGCTTACGGACGCTAGGTCCAGTTACGGACAGTTACAGACAGGTGTTTAAAACCGTTTGTATTTTTTCAATACATGCACATAATTAATCACGAGGGTCTATATCTACCATCATGCATTGCTAGAGAAAATGGCGTCGACTCACGTGACACAAGTACTTTGGCCCCGAAACAAGGCGTTGCCAACAAGTGCACGATTACATGCAATACTTTGACCCGAAACAAGGCGTTGCCAACACATGCACGATTACATACAGCTGCATCGTATCCTTCATCATGATGTAGTCCAGTTCACGCCATTTTTATAAATATAAACTTTTGATTCGCGCATGGCAAGAAAATTAAGCGATCCTAGTGATTAAAACTAACGAMAATTGATATCCATTTTAAAGACATCCAAACTCCAAGCATCAAACTTTTACTAGTTTTGACAATAAAATGCCTTTTTTACTCAAAAAAGCTTCCATACGAGTTTAGTTTAAACTATGCTCTTTTTGTCAGGTCAGATCGTTTTCASACAGAACGGCTTTATTACTTCGGTATTTGTAAAGAAAACAAAATGTTTTAACCCTAAGCCCTGAGGCCGTACATTTGACACGGTGAATGAAGCCCATAGTGAAAACTCCATTAGCAGCTTTTCTGATCCCGAACGTAAAGTGGGGGGTTGGGTATTGACTTCAGAAAAATATTAAATGGGTATCGGATTAAAATCTTTCGAATGAACGCTRCTTTAGAYATTTTTCGGAATGAATCCCATTTAGATTGGAATTTAGATTTCTTTCTTCTTTCATTCACTTATGTCATTATTTTTAATATACTCTATCATACTAGAAATATCATATCATGATTTTTTGAACCCTGAAAAATTGAATAGACTATATTTAACTTTCTTTATTTGACGAGTTTTAACTAAAATGACCTCCACTATAATATATTCTCACTACACATTACGATGCATGCAGACCACAGTTTATGTAAATTACTATGCCGAAATTCTTTCAGCCATGATCTCCGAACTTAATAAGATTTTAGATTTGCTAGAGCAGTTTCTCACTGCTCGAATATAGAGGTAATTCTACTGTAATTGAATAGAAAAAGACCTTGCAACTTTTAATTTAGACATATTAAATTATTTTATTTTTTGAATATTAAATATCTCAAAGGACTGGTTTTTACGCTTTTTCGGAGTATTTCACTCACGTCGAATKTTATTCATACAATGTTGGTTGTCGGACTTTTTTCAGTTGACTTAAATAGGAATTGTACTCGGCACATTTTATAAAATACTTCATTTTAGAAGTTTAGTTTCTAAAAACGATGGCTTATTGGTCTTTTAGCTCGAGGGTTAATTTGTTCGGATACGTCATCCATTATAAAAGGGAAAAAAAAGGTCACTGWATGTTGTAGTTTTGCTTCCCAAAGAATCAAAATTATTTAGTCAATTAAAGTAACATGGAAAAGAAAACTTTTCAGTTGCCAGTCCAGTTAGTTTTTTAAACTCGGAAATTTTTTCGTGCGACAACTCAAACAGTTTTTCGCTCCAGTTGTTTTTTAGTACTTAACTTGCTCATAACAAAATAAACATGATTTGTTTTGAAGAATAACTCGATGTTTTGAACCAAAAAGCGAGTAACTGTAACCTTTATATGAAACAAACTTGAACCTGGCTGATGAACCTTAATGTGAGATGGTCGAAACTAGAAAAAAAGTYGCCAAAGATATTTGAATAATTAATGAGTTTTAAAGATTTAAAGTCCTTTGTCTTTGAACTTTTAATTCAATAAATACAATTCGATCAAGTTTGGTGCCTTTCTCTTAACAATCTTGAAGCAAAAAATACTTAAATTTCCCGGCTCTTCCCTTGAAAATAATAAAATTGCACATAATTTCTCAAATTGATATTCRGGCTATCGCAGCATAATATATTCATAATTATTCTATACAGCAAATGCACAGCACCCAAATCACTTACCTCAAACGTATTTAAGTCAGGAAACAGTTCCCGAACTAATACTACTTTCTTGTAACATTTAAACAACCAAATTATTTCGGAATGACTTCTCTCCACATAGTTCTTTCTTATGTTAAGCTTTCTTTGGGGTTTTCAACCATTATCGACCAAAACGTGGCGCCATTACTAAGCCATGCGCTTACTGCAAGAACGCTTCTCTCATCTGTGACCGTTAGAGAGGTTTTGTTTCAAAACGAAGAAATTTAAATAACTAATGCGTGACTTAACTCAATTAATCTTGACTTTTGACTCGTAGGCGTCGTGTAGAACAATGTTCACTTAATTGACGTCATATTTTGGAGTTGAAAATCTTATAAAATCATGATGTTGTGATAAAATTGTTGATCTGTAAACACAAAAACGTATCAATCCACTGTTAAATAGCGGATTTACAGGACAATATCTACACTGTTTTTTTGTTTATTTAAGTTTTATTTTAGTTTATTTACACAAAGTATCGAAAGTATCGAATATCGTCTGAGTTATAACTTAATAATTCAATTTGTGAAGTAGTAACGGCTTTTTTTTRCCAAATCCAAACGCTACGTGACTRAACTGAAAATACGASCAGAAAAAAACACAATACTTAACGAGTCTCGCTCTGTTAGACCATAACAAATCCATTAAGTTTAATATTATTCACAACCTCCTACTCAAACAAATTAAGAAAAACAACGAATATCATACACAAAACTATTGCAAAATATAATTAAATAAATAATCTTGAAAAGTACGTTGAGATTGCTACTGATATGGAATTTGAAAGTTTCGCGCTTTTTGTGATCGATTTGTACAAGGTTTGGGGGGCGGGCGCCCGCTTTAGCGAGTGTTCAGTCTCCCCCAGCTACCYTTCCACTGAGATAGTCATGTATATGCTTCCAAGAGGACCACGAGCAATACAAGGTAGCCACTTGCAGACAGTTTCGATTTAAAAAGTACAATTTCTTGTGAGACCAATCTCTCGCACGCTACGTGACATGGAGAAGTTGGGTGCACATCTTTTGCTACTTGTTTTGTAACATCGTGGATTGTACGAGCCGGGACCTGGAACTGGTTCTAAAGAAATGAAATGAACAAATATTAGAAGAGAAATAGAAGTGAAGAATCAAAGAAATAGATGGGAATCAGGAGCCCATCACTAGTAATATGTATGGAATACAATAAAATCTMGGACAACTTTGGAACTATAACTAAGTTTACGCAATTAGTGAGTGTTAATTTCTTTCTGATCAAGCAAAACAACTGAAAGCGCAAAAGACCATACAGAAGAAAGATGGACACGAAAGAAGAAGAAAAAAAAAACTGGGCAAGAAAGAGAAGGAACAGTTAAAAATAGAATGAAATCGAATTAGATACAGAGAAAAAATAATATTCGCAATGGGAATAAAAGAAAAAAAGGGAGGAAAAACGATGCGCAACAGGAGGCAAACTTTAAGATAATTCACGAAGAAAAAATAAGAGATATAAAAGCGAGAAAAGAATGAATCCCTGATTGGCGAGACAAAAAAGGTGAAAAAAGTCAACCAAAATGATTGTTTTCTCATACCCCTTGCAGTCCAGACCATAGTCCCTCCTTTTCGTCCCTCTTGGACAGAATAAGATGGGAAAGTCTTCATGAGTTTCAATTTTGATTTACTGTAGTTATATTGATTTGGCGCTGGCTCAGTCTCAGAACCTGATTTGTTTAAWACGAAAGCTCTTCTTTTTCCCATGGAATGTGCAGGTGACTGAGGAAGGTAGGACAGCTTTGTACCAATGGTTGGCTTGGATGTGTAGTGGGCTGGGGAGGGCCATGGATACTAAAAAAAATTATCATATAATTATCTACGAAATACCTATATTTCTCCATTTTGTATAGTAAGTTGTTATTTTCACTGGTGAAAATAGCACATTTAAGGTTTATCTAAATAGTGGAAGTAAGAAAAGTAACAAAGAAAAAACTAAGGTATTTCACGACATAATTTGCTTTCATATGTAATCATACGATAAAAAGAATATTACATGATCGCTTGGAGATAGCCTACTCCACAGGCAACTCTTTTTTCCTCCTTTGGGCTTCCTTTGTAACGGTCATTTTGGCCGTTAGGGACTAGTGACGAGATAGCAAAAAAAAGTTCCCTTTTCTCGCCCCCATTTTCCCTCTTTTGACTCCTCAAAAAGACAGGAAGCCCGTGATTCTTAGTGATGCCTGCGGAGGAAGCTAGCTTGGAGATACGAATTTTACATTTTTATCTTCTTGTGTTGCAAATCCTCTATATATCATGTTAACTCTTTTTTTCTGATTTTTATCAGCATAAAATTAAAAATAAATAAATAAATAAAATGAAAATAGTGGATGGGCGCCTTGTTTCCCATTTCCAGATATTACATGTCTTTTTTATCAATGTGCAGACAAGACTAACCCTCTCGTCAAAGTGTGCCCTGTATGTCCATATATCATGACTGGCAATCCATTGTTTGTTCCATGCCACACGGTCACCTCCATCCTCTGCAACACAAAAAATGTATAAATGAGATTAAAGTGCGCATATTGACATTTCTTGTATAGGCAAACATCACATTCATGTACATTGTTAAATAATATACAATTCATGCAGTGAATTTTCTGGTTTGAATTCACCAGGAACAGCCTGCAAAAAAGGCTATACATACAAGATGGACCACAATTAAGCTCAATATTATTGTCCTTTTTTGAGGAACTGTTCATTGGCAATCAGACGCTCACAATATACCCCTTTTTGAGGGACTCTTTACCACCAAAATTAATTATTCAGAAAATTTTCCTGGAAAATTGCCCATTTTAGGTGTCTCATCATTTAGGGACCATCTTGTCCAATACAAGATTGCCCCCTTTTGGATGGACCAGATATTAATCATTACAAGATTGACTAGNAATAAATAAATAAATAAAATGAAAATAGTGGATGGGCGCCTTGTTTCCCATTTCCAGATATTACATGTCTTTTTTATCAATGTGCAGACAAGACTAACCCTCTCGTCAAAGTGTGCCCTGTATGTCCATATATCATGACTGGCAATCCATTGTTTGTTCCATGCCACACGGTCACCTCCATCCTCTGCAACACAAAAAATGTATAAATGAGATTAAAGTGCGCATATTGACATTTCTTGTATAGGCAAACATCACATTCATGTACATTGTTAAATAATATACAATTCATGCAGTGAATTTTCTGGTTTGAATTCACCAGGAACAGCCTGCAAAAAAGGCTATACATACAAGATGGACCACAATTAAGCTCAATATTATTGTCCTTTTTTGAGGAACTGTTCATTGGCAATCAGACGCTCACAATATACCCCTTTTTGAGGGACTCTTTACCACCAAAATTAATTATTCAGAAAATTTTCCTGGAAAATTGCCCATTTTAGGTGTCTCATCATTTAGGGACCATMTTGTCCAATACAAGATTGCCCCCTTTTGGATGGACCAGATATTAATCATTACAAGATTGACTAGCGCAAAACAGTGCATAAGAGTGTCTTTATTATTAAGGCCCATTGGCCCTTTCCACCCAAGTACTGTACTAAAGACATTGGTACCTTTTTCTGGCTGTGTTTTTGGTCTCATTGTATATGATGGAGATGTTGTTTCCCAAGGAAGGTAGGCTGGAGGGTCATAWGTYGTAGGYTTAGGCCCACTCAAGTCTATCTTCAAAGGGGGRCGGGATTGGATACACTCTTCTAAACCGATATCTATGAAGAATAACAATATAGACTTAGATTTGACACACCATATGATAATAATAATAATGTACATTGTACATATAGTGCGCATTTATCAATGGCTCAATACAGCCAGATACAAGTTGATCGCGACAGCAATGTTAGTATTGAACACTTTCTCTAGCACTTTCATGTGGGTCAGAGGGGCCATGCTGCTTAACCCCTTCCAATGCAATTGTACACAGTGTGCCACACTAAAATATGTCAAATTGAGTGATCTTCGGAAATATTTTTTTTTAGCTACAGTCATTCTCTCTAACATAAACAATGTATATATTTCTGTGAAGCTAAGAAATCTGTCCTTCTAATGAACATGGAATGAAGTGTGTTTTTGTAATTCTATATTATTATGACGTCATAATCGTGGGAAAATTGTGATTTTACAGGGTYGCATTTAGAAAAAAAACTTATTTCCTCTCCAGAATCATTCCATAGTTGATCCAATTATTTACTAAATTGTTTGGAATTACTAAGTTTTAGCTCGTAAAAAAGTCATATTTCCACCTAACAAATCGAAGACGACAAGATGGCGGCCATCTTGGAATGAAAATGCATTTAATTTATTCATACACGCTCCAAAGGCTCATGCACGTAATTCACATACTAGTGTCCAGTCTCTCAAGAAACACAGTTGATTTCGATATGCCGGAATCAAGTGCCAACGATGTGCCGAAGATTTAACTAAAACACTGCAAATTTGGACGTACTGAGTACGGCATATAGGCACATGGTATACAGTTTTTATGACGTACTCAGTACGTCATATACGGCACTTGGGGTTAAATAGTGAAAGTCTAGTCTAATCCCCACTGTTTCATTCCTGGTTTCATTCTAAGGTACTCTTCATTTTTATGAGAGTTTTTCTAAAGGCAATTAATGCTGGTTTTCTCCCTCAGTTCAAAACTAACTGAGCATAAGCATGAGATAAGCACAAGAAGATCAAGCCTTGCGCGTTTTTCTTGTGCTCATGCTTATGCTTATTTTGAGCYCGTTCTCACTGGCRCATATGACTCTCGTGCTTCGTGCTTATGCCTATGCTTATGCGCTAGTGAAATCCACGCTTTACAGGGAATGTTCTTTGTGACTTTGCATTTTGGTGTCTATGCTCTTGATTTCAAAATGATAAGAATCTAAGCAAAAAACATGACATTTTCATAAAAACACTGAATAGATAGATGTGACATACTTTTGGAGGTTTAGTAGAAGTTGATGTACTTTGTGAAAGTTAAACTTATACAAAATAGTTGCTGAATTATGGTAATTCCTATATTTCCTACATTATTATTAATAACAATTAAAATAAAATCAGTAATTACTTGCACATTCGTCATCTTTTTCCAAAACTTCTTGCTTCTTTGAAACATTTCTGGGCTTTGYTCTATCTCGTCTATGATAAAAAAGTTACAATTAATGATTTAAATTCAAGAATTAAACTCAAATTAAACACAAAAGGAGGAACACATATCAATATCAAATGATTCTAAAGATATTTACCTAACGAACAGAGAAYACAAGAAAAGTGAGCAATCAAAACAAAGAAAACAGCCGAACAACAACAAACAAACAACAAATGCCGGCTCAACAAGCTCAAAAATTTTAGTTTTTATTGAATGCTTCGAAGATGCTTTTTCAATACTCAACTGAGAGCAAACAGTTCTATCCGCAAAGACAGACTTTTAAAAAATCAACATTTTCAACAAACATTGGTGGCAAGATAGAGTACAGCCAAAGTCAACAAGCCATAAGCATATATGGGCATTGATATGGCATCGTTTTCCCGTAAACTTATTGCACAAATTTCTAGCAACTTAATACCTTAAAACATACAATTCAATCCGATATATAGTCCATTCCTTACCTTCCTACAAGAGAAACAGTCGAAAGTTTAGCGAGAGGCCGAAATCTTGTTCGAATTCCATTGTTGTCGCCAGATAATTGTGCGCCTCGAGGAAGACGCGACAGTGCAAAATGTAAAGGATGCATAGGTCCAAACGGCGCTTCGCTCATACTGATCGTTCGCTGTCCTCTTCTTTGCGTAGGAATGGAACTCATTCTTCTTTAATCTTCATTCTTAAATAATTTATTTGACATTTGTTTGTGGCATTTCGGTGAAGGATGTTGAAGTTGARGTCATGTTGTTTCCATGCCATCGATCATGTGACTGATCTCGAGGGAATATATTAAATACACAGAAAGCCCGCAAATAACTGTAAAACTTGTAACCTTGTCTAAACACAAAAGAAAACAATGTAATCTACGAACATAGGGAACTTACTGAGTCCGCGCGAGAAACTCTGCAAAATTAAACCAGAAAAAATTATTCAAAAAATGCTTCGGATTCCTTCGGATTAGAATTGTTTTGTATTTAGTTCAGCAACGTTTACTGAAGTAACTAACTTTGACTATAAAAGTGTGATAGTCAAATAGAAACAAAAGAAAACAATGTAATTATAGCGTACTAAGGCGTATTAGTGTAATATCTATTTCACGGCTTTTTTGACGCGTTCTAAACCCGTGAACCAAAGTTAACTAATAAAAAACGATGTAATAAGAGCGTACTAAGATTTTTTACTTCACTCTAAATTGCACAACATTTTTCAAGTACCTACAAAGTTTTTTTTATAGCACGTATTAAGTCAACTTAAAGAGTTTTTGTCAAACCGCTTTTACAACTAAAACGTTAAATACCGGGAACCTGGCATAAATTCGTCATGCAACACACCGTTTAATGTCTCATATACAGCTAATTCTGAAAACGTTGAATACTGCAGTGATTTCAAAGACCGCAACAAAAATTAAAATTGTAAACTAATCTTTTACTATTGAAGTTCTTGGCGGTAGGAGCTGCTATAATCATTCTGAAACCTTAAAAACAGTTTTTAACTGTAGAACGATCAACAATGCATTTCGGTCTAGAAATTACACGATCTTCAGTAATCAGGTTTTCTGAAATAGCTTAGTATAAGTTCTTTTTGCCAACTTTACAAGAGTTTTTGCTACATCAATTTAAAATCAAAAAAGGCTCTATAACACACTTTTTCGCGAGGGTCTGGTAGATGAAAAAGGAAGGTGGTCGTCACAACTTTCCGATATTTTGAAAGTTTGTTGGATAATGTTGTCTTTACTTAAACAACTTTTTCAACTGTTTTTTTTGTCCATTTTTTCCCCTTCAACCTCGAATAAAATCCATTCTCCTGAGCCAAAACGAAGGGATAGGGGCCTGAGGAAAAGACTATTTTTTTCTTTGTTTTTTAAATCAAACATGAGTTGGTTTTCCAAAGTTTCTTTTCTTTGTCAGTATTTTCTGTTACCACCTCGTTTTTGCTTTATATAACCGAAAATAAGAAAGAGAAAAAAATAGGTAATTTTGAAGGCAGCCTATCTAGCGTTGCTTCCTTAATTTTCTTGAATTCCGAATGCAACACTTATATTAGGTCGATCGTATTCTTCATTGATTTGTTTTTTGAGGTAGTGTTTTTTAGCCCGCATAGATGTCTGTTTATCTCGGGCAGGTTAAAATCTATCAGGTTTTTTTAACATTTTTTTAAACAACGGTATCTGACGAATCAGCAATTTAATAAATGACAATGTCGACACTTGGTTGATCTGCCATTTTCGCAGTTTTCTTATTTGTTCACTTGTTTTTYATTCGTTTGTTTTGATGGCGCATATATCGGCATTTTGCTAATCACCATCAACACGTTGCTAGTTCGTCATTTCGCTGTTTTCTATCAGTTTTTTCTTTTTTCAAATTTTTCTCCTCTTTTCGCTTACTAAAATCGCACACATTTGTCGAATTTTCAAATTTCGCTTATTTGCCAATTTCGTAGTTTTTTCTTTCTTTTTCGCAACTTTTGTTGAAAACTATCTTTCCTCTTTTTTGACTAATTATTTACATAACTGAACAGTCGTTCTTCTTCGCCGATTGTTCAAACTTTCCAATTTCTTGCTTGATTCGTTGATCTGTTAATAAGGAAGCTGGATCGCGAGAAGGGTATGACGTCGGCCTAGGTGACGTAGTTGCTGTCATGGAAACCCCTTGACTTGGTGACATATGCACTGAAAAGGAAGGTCCTCTAACAGTGGGTGACGGATTTGGAGAGTACGAGGCAAAATTTGATGACGTAGATGTTGGCATGGGAACTGGTTGTACATTGGGCGTTGAGTAAGACGACGATCTGACTGAATATCTTGGAAGTGACGAAGCTTGGAGGGTCGGTTCGCATCTATATTCTATGACATACTCCGGGTAGTATTGATCGACATCAAAGCCAACAAAAACCTGAGGATTGTTSACGTTRTCTACACATGAATTATAGTGCTCGCTGTGAGGGTCATCTGGATTCTTTGGGGGTGGGCGTCGGTAGTTTTTCTCACCCTTTGTAAACGAGCCAACAAGAACCTGATAAAGTAGATTACATATCGATAAGGGTCTCCCGCTCATATTTTATATATCACATAGGCCATTATTACAATGATAGGATTTACCTTAGCGACAAACACGAAGCGAATGCCGTCTTCGTCGTCATGGCAATAGCAATGGCTAAACGATGCATCACGTGCAAAGTACGCACCCTCGCCATACTTGTTCCCAGTCACCTCGCCATACAAGCGCCAATCAAAGTTCTCCTTACAGATCGACCTTATGTTCTTGTACGATGTGCCGTGGAATAATTGCCTTTCGTCTACTTGCTTGTTGTCGGAATGTTTCTCCATTTGTTCTTTTTTCCTGTAGAATATTGTCATAGTAAGTCGGTAGAACTGATTCCCTTATTGGTCCGTTGGTTTGTTCAGAACTTTAACGATTTAAAGAGCTAAAGAGCTCACAAATGTCCCAAGGTTTGCAATCTTTTGAAGGTCGCAAGATCTCATGACCTTTTCATAACTTTTACGTGGTTTTAAATGACCAAATACTCCATTTTACARTTCCAAGCGCCATCTTGAAAGGTAACCAAGCCTTTGCATCAAAGCAAGACAGGAGTTGAGCCTGCGGTGATAGATACCTTTGTTCRCACCCATGGCAATTATTCACAGGTATCTATCATTGCAAGCTCAACTTCTGTCTCGCTTTGATGAAAAGGYTCGGCTACCTTTCAAGATGTCGCAAGGAACCGTAAATTGGAGTATTATATAAGTTAACTTCATATAAAATACTAACACTTCATATATGTGACCTTTAACTGCATTTACCAAAAGCTAATTCATTAAAATGATGCATTTGTCCAGGAAATAATGGTCACAATTATAAGATGAAAAACGAGAAGAGTTTCAATGACTTTCCATTTTACGACTAATGTTTTTCAGGACTGAAAAAATAAAATCACGAAATTGTATGGATTTTTTTTTTTTTTCAATTTTTTGTTGGTATCCGTGCGAGCGCTGAGTGTTCCCACAATTGTAGCTTCCTTTCATACATCTGACTCCTGTGCATTTCCCATCCATTCATCCCACTGATATATTCCTGCAATCTTACCTTCTATACTTCTCCCACATAAAGGGATTTTGAACCCTGTCGATCGAATTAACAGTGAATCTATAGTCACCCATAGAATTAACGAACAGTGACTTTGTATTCTTGAATTCCTTCGAGTTAGCGTTCAGCCTCTTGAGAAGAAATGGTTGGTCATCTGTCATCGTTTTCCACTGACTTGGGACTTGGGTACTGGAAGCTGTATTTGGTAGTGTGCAAGTCCTACAAATATATTTCATATCACGATAATATGAGCTACAAATAAATTTCATATCACGATAATATGAGCTACAAATAAATTTCATATCACGATAATATGAGCTACAAATAAATTTCATATCACGATAATATTGAGCT